ATATTCAAAGTTATATAAAATATATGTGCAAAGTTCCATTTCAATTCATGTCTAAATAAAGCATACCGAAGTTTATGTAGATTTACTCACTTTCGTATTTAACTACCGAATAAGAATCTTTACTAACAATCAAAAGTTTACGTAAAATTACACACAAATCTCACCCTTATAGTCTAACAAGAAAGATTTCCCAGAACAAAAGATCACAATTTAAAAAAGTATCTGTAACGAAAAATAAAAGATGTTCCCCACCAAACACCGATATAAATAATGAACACCCAATCCAGCGACGGAGCGCATCAGCCTGCACTCGCGCATCCACTTAGAAGCGCGTAGCCGCGGATGCGATGCTTGTTAATCAACGGAACGAATTTCCTTGACTAAGTCAATCAATTCCGACGCCCCCGAGCCCGCGCGTGCCCAGCAAAATTACAGCGCACAGCGCGCCGCAAAGAATCTCGTCCAGAGATGAGTTTCATTAGCGGTCCCAATTGACTGCAGGATAGGGGATGAGGACGACGGCGGCGTCCCAGGTCGAACGGGCCGACTGACGGACGAAAACGGAGCCGCGGCAGGAAAAAGTCTATGGTAAGAGCGCGAAGAACCGGCGAAGGTTGTCAAGCGCGGCCGGGAAGTTGCCGCTATCAGCGAAAAGGGGTAAACGCTTCAGCCCAGTTGGCTAACGCGCCGAGAGAAATCGATGGTTAATGGACAAAGTTGACACCGTTGCAACATCCCGAAACTGCTTCGGGAAACTACCGACATTCGTTTCACTTAGGCTGCTTTGCTCGGTTCCTCGGCTTCCAACCTCTCCGCCTACCGACCTCCCAGGCATCCAGTTTCTGTGTATTATCCGTAGTTGCTGTACGGGAACCCGAAAGCATCGGCCTGGGAATTTTTTGTCGGAATCGACGGAATTTCGAGATTCGGAAATATAAACCACCGATGATTTCGAGACGTCGAAACGTACTTTGGGATTAGCTTGAAACGTGTCTTCGTTGAATAGTGTTTCATTAACAATTGCCGTGCGTGGTTTTCGTCTGTGGTTTCGAATCTTTTGGGCAATAAGTTTTCTAGGTCTTTAATGTATGTTTTAGTGATACTTTTTGTATTGAGTAATGTAACTTTTAATCACCACTCTACTATGTTTAGTAAGAAGTTTATGCGAACTCATTTAGATTTGAATAAAGTGGGGGTTATTTATTCCTTGCAAGACCCAAATGAGAAATTTTCATTGTTTGGGAACTGGTAATAAAAGGAGGAATTTCTGTCATGGAACTGGATGTGCTAAAATGATGCAAATTTGTTACTTAACTTTATTGATTTATAAAGTAAGTATCTAAAGAATATGAAATCATAACCAAACCAAATAAAGAGCGTATCTAGATATAATTATATTCGCCAAATACAGCTCCTTACTTTAAAATGTGGAACTGTTGTCAAAGGGAACTTTTAATTTTCTTCATTTTTTATGATTTACATTATCGAAATAAATTTCTAAGCTTTGAAAATAAATCCATCTACCATGTTTCTCGTATTTTCTGGGTCTCCTACATCTACGCCGCTGCTTATTCGTTCAACCGGCGACTTTTCGGTGGCCTCCGTTGAATGGGATAGAATGAAGTGAAGAGACCCGCGGTTTCATAAATTCTTTCGTCGAGTATATTTAGGAAACCGTGGTCGTCTAGTCGTTGCCCGATGCGACGGAAAACGGGAAAACGAATGGAATTTATCGGGCGCATCGGTGATCTGATTTTTGATGCGGAGCAAGGAAGATTGATTATTTGTGTGTCTTTCGGTTGCCGTTAGCATTGAGACTGTGCTTTCTCTCTGTACGTTGTAAATAATGCAACAGCGTGGTCAGTGTTCCAGGTGGAATAAGTCAGCAATAAATAAACACAGTGACAAATATGTTTTGAGAAACTTCGATGGAAGCATGACTCGTGAAAATCTACGTTCTTCGTTAATTATTAACAATACGCTTTGCCAATTTTACGTCTACTACTAAGTATTAATCATAATATTTTGATTCTTATGATCAGCTTATAGAACGTGAACTTCTTGCAGTTTCTACTTCAACCTCATTTGATATTACAAAATCTCTATACCCAAAAATAATATATACAATCCAGTTATCTAGCTCACTCATTTTTCAAACTTCACTTTTCCAATTTTAATCTCTACGCATTAGCCAAACAGACGTTACATAAAGATTCAAATCGATTGAAATGCAACTGATTAAAAATTTCGTCGTGAATAGACGAGAGCGCTGATCCACGGCACAGCCGTAATATGTCAAGCCTATTTCCATATTGCTACGACAAAGGGTACGCTAAACACAGATCCGCGGCGCAAGTCGAATTCACACGAAAGGTCCACGAGTACAACCACTCCGAGCACAATCCAGGACTCGCAAAGGACTTCAACGTCAATAACCGCGATTCGGCGCGGCCTGTTTTCGTTTCACATACGATAACAGATGATTCAACCGTGAATCCGGCGTGTCTCCGCGCATTTAGTTCGCCGAAACTCGCGCGCCTTTCACCGGCGACAACGAAGAAAGGGTGGGCGCCGTCTCATCCCGTGTCCCGTAACTTCTCTCCCTCTAGAGATGAATATAAATAAGGGTATTAAGACAATAATACTCGGCTTGCATTAATTCGAGTTACGTTTACGGAGACTTATCGTCGCCGGCGCGAAATTAGGTTGGCCGCGATACCTGTCGTTCTCGCCACGTTGAACCGGAATCAACGGTGAATATAACGCCGCCTAAACTGACGAGCGAACGGCGTAAAGAACGACGTCCAACACGCGTCCGCTTTATGAAACCCGGCTGACAATAAGACTATAACTCGGATTTAGTAAGTTAATC